GATAGAATTGTGTAGTTTGAGGTGAAAATTTATATAAACGTGTCACTTAAACTTTGCCTTGTACCTAAAGTTATCGATGACAATGGGGCGGAGCGCGATAGAAATTAAATTTTCCATCAACCTTCACCCCCAACCAAAAATCATGTTTTAAACAAAATCAAATATCTTGGTACACTTCAAAAATGCATATAGTAAAGTCAGAAATTACTTTCGAAATACAGATATATATGTCGTTTTCACCTATTAAGGCACCACAATTATTTTTCATAGACCTCACGTACCAGAGAAAAGTTGATGTAATCTTATTCAAGAACTGTGCCCAACTCACTCAATTAGTTTACACTCTCACTCACTTCCTGGTTTGTTTCTCCATCATTTGCTCCAGGATTGTGACTAGACAACAACATATGTAGTTATCTACTTTATCAACTTGACAAACACCAATAGTCTTAACAAACTTACGTCTTATTAAGAAATTAGTAGTTTTTAACTAAAAGGAATCTGTAAATTATCAAGAAGATGCCAATGGCAGATCTATAGGGAGAGTTTCTTTCTTTGTAATTTGTTGAGGGTCCAAGCTAGAAATCCCTACCTTCAATACACACTATCATCCCAACCATCCCATCACTATAAGTTTAGGTGTTGAGTATCTTTTTCTATACAAGCGACAATGGAAAGACATAATCAGATCTAAAGTCTCGAATGCAGAAATAATTGTTCTTAATCACTTGAGTTTAAGTTCGTTGCGAACCTACAAAAAGAGTGAAGAAAAAACGGGTATCATCCTAGCTAAGTCCTAGTGTGAAAATAATCGAACAGGACATTCAAATCGAGAATAAATACTCTTAACTACTTCAGTTACTGAAATCGACAATGAAATATTTTACTCAATACTCTCATCGTAATCAAATCACAATCGTTAATCATAAATTCTACAAGTCCCCACCAAGCATGTGCATTCAAAATGTAGTTCATAAGCCAATCTTGTCAAGTTTTTCTTGTACCTGGAAACAAATTAATACTTGGCCATGCACGTAGCAGTCCAAGGAGCTCAACTCATGCAACTACAAAACACTGAGGATGGATGGATGGGGGCATTAATGTCATGGTCCCAAACGAACAAAAGGGATGATGCTATTGAAGATGGATGCCCAGAAATAATTGAAGAGTGCCACATGCTGCATTATATGCTTTGTTGGGAGGACAACGAGCACCACGATAGACACATGTCGCAATTAACATGTTTGAGAATTTTCTATTATTTGTAAGGTGAAATAGTCAAAAGCTTATAATTCAATTGATTAACAACATTCACTATTACAGTTGGGGTTTAGAGTTAGTTTCTTTCTCTCCAGTATTGTTTCTATAAAAAAGAGAAATAATAACATTTTATACTACCTTCTTCACCTTTTTTCTCAATGGTAAACTAGACCATAGCTAAGTTGGTTAAAATAATATATCTCATTCTCGACATCTTTGTATGAATTCTCATCTTTAGAATCTGAATTATATTAGAATGTAACTTGAATAAGAAAATATTGTTATTTCAACTTAAGAAATAAGAAGATTTGAAAAACGAAAGCCACAAGCTTACTAAAAATGGGGACGCTGCATATTCCTCCTATGCACTCGAATATTGCCTGTTTAGAAAATTCTTGTGAACCTGTATGTAAATTTCTTTTTGCGGATAACTAAATATGAGTGCACAAATTGTCACTTATGATTGGGGAGAATGAGAATCAAACACAACAGAGTTTGACCGTAATTCTACGTTTTATAGAATTGAAATTGTCAAACACATAATATACAATATATTGCATCTCACCTTATTGAGCACAATGCATGTGGTCTAATATCTAGTAGATAGGGTTGGGTTTTTCTTCACGCATTCTGAGTTCGAAATTCCTTCCTTCAAAATTATTGTAATAGATTTCAAACTCTCCGCCTCCTCTTAATAATAGTAATATTACAAAAAAAAAAAAAACTTATTGAGCACAGTGTGGTAAGACATCAATTTATAAAGTAAATGCGATGCATAATTAATAAACATTACCACCATAGTTGAAGTTGGAGGATGGAAGGTCGTTTGCTAGTTTTAACCTTCATAGACATCACGAGATTCTATATGAAGAAAATATGACAGACTCGTACGGACTCATACATTCTTAAGAAGTGCTAGCAAATTTTGCACTAATTTTTGCATTTGAATCTTTTTACTTCTTCATCAGTTAGCACGTGTTATCTTTTACACAAATGAAGACATTTTCTATTTATCATCATTAATTCCTAGCTAAAAGTATTAAAAGTCAAAAAAGTAACACGTCTCAACTGAAGAAGTGAAAAAATCCAAATGCAAAAGTTAATATAAAAGTTGATTAGCATTCTCCTTTATAGTTTTAGAGAAATATATGGATATGCCAAAATTAATTAGGGTTTTTAATTCTCAAACCAAACTCATCCCCCAGATCAACAACATTTGCATGCTTTCACGATCAGAAGATGTCCGATTGATGTACGATTGCGACTTCACAGCAGCACCAAAACACTACCATCACTTACACAACCCTCCACAAAAAATATCAACGTTTTTTTTCAGCCTCACAAGAGCATTTCAGCCTCTTTCTAGACACTATCGTGTGATTCATTAGTTCTAGAAATCAAACCCAAAACGTACTGTATGGAATATGTGCTTAAAAGTCATCCCATTGGACCACCCCGTGATGGTTGTTAGTTTAACGAAGTTGAATAAACCTTTATTGTTTTTGTGACCCATAACAACACCATTAAAACTAAAACCCCACCACTTAGACCTGGGCAATGGGTCGTGTTTGTTATGTTCGTCTCGTTGTCGTGTCATACTCGTCATTTTAACGGATCGTATCGTGTTAAATTCAATATCTTAACGAATTCTTAAAAAGTTATCAGATAGCAACCCGACTTGTTAATGAGTCGAGTCGTGTCATTTCGTGTCGGATTAATAGATCATGCAAGAAGTTTTCATGTTTAATGTCTAAACATTGCAAACAAGTCATGTCCGATCATTTGCTTGTCACACTCGTTAAGTTACTGGTGACTAGGATGACAATTCTAACTGTTAAACTTGATAACCATGGATAATCGCCCGAATGGATTAGATTTGGATATGAAAATTCGGGTATGATTTGGATATGGGGAAAAACCGTTAACTTTATTCGGTTATGGTTTTGGATATGGTTATAGGGGGTACCCAATCCATATCCATACCCGAATCCGATCCGAATATTATATATATATATATATATTTGATATATATTATATTTTATTCAATTATGCATTTCGAAGTCTTGGAATCATGCCCACAACGTATTCAATTATTCCTATCCCTATAGTACTAATTCATTATACATGCATCAAACCTTATACTATCTTTATTATGCACCAAACATCATACATGGGGCATACCAACAACCTCATCAATTCAATACTCTTATTGTTATACTCAACCAAATTAATTCATTGAATCATTTTATATATCAATTATCAAATGTTCCAAGTTTATCAGATTTATCTCTCTTCAAAAGTCTCATTGTCAAGAAATTGGTGCATGTTGTAAGCTCAATAGGTAATCTTCCATTCTTTTTCATGTTATTTGATTCATGAAAATTATCAATTAGCGTCAGTTTTTCAGTTTATTACATATGTTATGAGCCCATAGAATTATGCAAAATTAAATCAATAATTGTCTTCTTGTTTGTTGTCATATATTTAGTTTACATGTTTTATCTTCCCTTCATATTTGTTTTTGTCCTCTTTTTTTTTTTTTTATTGGACCAATTTATCATATTGGCTTATCATGAACAACTTCAAATATATATTGTTATGTTTTTTGTAATTAGATGTGGCTATTTAATGGAAAAATTAGTATCTACTAAAATTTATAGTGCGTCAATTGGATGAATATAATTTTTTTTTTTTTGACGAAGATGGATATAACCGATAACCGATTGAAAATTCGTTACCCGGTGGATATGGTTATGGATAATCTCCGATGGTTATTTTACGGTTATGGATATGGTTAATTTTCATGATTATGGGGATGGATATAGCATTTCCGTCCCCAAACCGAACCGTTTCCATCCCTACTGATGACTTGATATTGACTTGATTCGTAGACGTGTTATTAACAAGCAACTCGAATCATTAACGGTTTAACTTGAACCCTATCATTTTCATGTCAAACTTTTTTCCAAATCTAACCGATGTTTATTTGCTAAAATAAAATGGGCATTTTAGCAAAAATGGTCCCTGAAATTTGCATATTTTCTTACTTTTGGTCCTTAAAATTATCAATAGAAGTAGTCCTTGAGTTTGTCCACTATCAATCATTTTGGCCATTCCATAAAAAATCTTTATTGGTTAAAATGACAAAAATACTCTCAATTTTTGTCAAATCATTTGGCCCATTATTTAATAAATTGAGAGTATTTTTGTCATTTTGGTCCTTAATTGATATAATTTTTCATGGAATGACCAAAATGATTAATGGTGAACAAACTTAGATACCACTTTTATTGATAGTAAATCTTAGAAACTATTTTGATTAAAAAAAACTAAAAAAAAATAAGGGAAAAGACATTGGACATAGCACTTAACAAACCAATCCCCTTGTCTTGTCTTATTACTGTTTACTCGGATGTCAGCATTCTCATTCCAGTGGGATAAGAGAAAATAATATGCAAAGAAGATGTGACCCATAATATCACAAATCAAAGTCGACCTTAGTTTGTCATATGAGAAAGTTCAAACATATAACAATGCGTTTTATATGAAATTACGGTGCAAATGAGGGTCGTCAATCATAACGCCTTTTGTGGCAACTTACTCACAGTTAATGGATCGAAAATGGTCCTTTGTAGTACTAAAGAAGATTGATTCAATAGAAATTGTGAGAAATTTATATATTTGTGAATTTTGATAGGTAATGCTGCATGTAAACAAAGATGGAGTTACGCGCATACAGATCCAGTATGATTCTAATTTCATTAAAATATAACAAAGTATCATAGATAATTAAAGTAGGGGTATTACATGTATAATCATCTCTCTCCCCATCTGATCTGGGTCAGCTTCGCTTCTCCAGAACACATAACTCCATACAAACACAGAAAGAAATCCATTCATTTCTTGATTTTTGATTAATTAATTAATTATCATTACTGCAAAGTCTTCGGTGTCGTTATGTATTTATACTATTTTCGCTGACTGTTTATTTCGTCTGTATGTGGGTCGGGTCGGACTGCTATTCAGCATCTCCAGTCGAGTCGGACCTCACCGGGTCCAATAACGTGCTGACTGGGCTTGCGAAACGACACGATCTGGCTGCTCGCCATAAACGCCGTTACCCGCTCCGACACCCGAATGTCCTCCATCTTCAGCTCCTGCAGCCGCCGCACGTACTCCGGCACGTGCAGTAGGTCCCACACCACCCCCACCCCACCGGGCTTCAGAACCCTGACCATCTCGCCGACAACCCTCATCCGCTCCGCCGACGCCTCCACCGTCCGATGGCCGTACTCTTTTCCGACGGTGTGGACGAACACAGCAGACACCACAACGTCGAAGTACCCGTCCCCAAACGGCAATCTCCTGGGGTCGCCCTCGCGGCAAGTCACGTACTCCCCTACACCTTCAATCTTCGCTGTCCGCAGCGTAGACGAGAGGCTCGTCATCTTGGACCGGTCCAGGCCCACAACCCGACCCGAACTCCCCTCTTTCTTCATCTGGGTCGCCACCGCGTTTAAAAGTATGCCGCGGCCGCAGCCGAGGTCCAGGGCGTGCTTGACGGTCGACCATTCGTTGACTGAGCCGACCATGCGCTGGGCGACGTCGTAGTGGAGGGGGAGTGAGGAGTATAGGAAGTGTCCGGATGCGAAGAAGAGACAGAGGGCGGAAAGGGCGGTGACAGAGCCAGTGAACCCGGCGGCAAAACGGGCGGTGTCGATGGGGAGGAGGCGGTGGAAGAAGAGGGTGATGGGGTTGAAATAAGTGAGGTAGAGGAGTGACAGAACGGTAAATAGGACAGCGTTGAAGAGAAGGAAGAGAATGGTGTGCAGCTGGTCGAGACCGTAGATTGCGTAGATCTGAGTCCAGCCTCTGCTGCCTGGCGCCGCACCTGATGGTTTCCCCATCTTCCTCTCTCTAAACATGTTTCCAGAAGGCATCAAATCTCCAAGACCTCCAAACAGTTGAGAAATCTAAGGGCGTTTGGCTACTGAGAAAGTAGTAGATCACACATTAAAGATGGTGAACAAATAATCACGAAGTCATTCGTAGGGAGAAATCATGGGGAAGTGAGGGTCGGGGAAGTTGGAGAAAGAACAAAGAGGATCATAAATGGAGGATGACCATGGCGGCAAGATGGAACGCGCTTTTCATTTCGTCGGCTTCTCTGTATTTTTTTCAAATTTTAAAAGAAAGGGAAAAAAGGAGCAAGAGAGATTGAGTGGGTCGTGTAGTACGGATTGTTTAGAGAGAGAGAGAGAGAGAGAGAGAGGGAGGTGCGTGCGGAGTTTGGGAAGATTGTGAAAGTGGGAAAAAGTAGATATAGGATAATTTGTTGCCGGCAAACCGGCTTAGCCGGTCACTTGATGGAGGTAGGGGAAAACAATTTTTTTTTTTTTTTTTGGTAAATTGGTTCTTTCACTTTAAGCGATGCTTATATCTTGTGCTTATAAAACAAAACAACATTGTAATTGGGTTTACATACTTTATAGTTTACATAAGGTATAGAACCCTTTTTTGGAAAGAGATTCACTTCGGTTTCTATTCTACCAAAGTCACAGGATCAAGTGATTCAGACATTTGAAATTATCTAACGGTTAAAATTATTATAACTTTTAAAGGAGCTCCTGTTTTTAGCCGTGAGATCAAATTTTAAGAGCTTGGATCACTTGATCCAATGACTTTGGTGGAAGAGATCTGGAGATGATCTCTTTCTCCCTTTTTCTACTAAGAATTAGAATTTAGAAATTTAAATTGACAGAGGAAATGCAATTTTTTCTTAGCAAATATTATTATTACACTAAGAGGGAGGAAGGACGAGCTTAGCTTTACGAGGGACTAGCAATAATAAGGTTTAAATTCACCTTTGTCGATAATCGAACCTAAGACCTCTCACTTATCAGTAAGAGAAATATCACTAGATTGCAATATTAAGTGACAGGAAATGCAATTAATTAACTAGGAATCAAAACCAAATTCTTATGGTAAAAGGAAGCACCAATTACCCAAAAAAACGACGTACACTTTTCAAAAAACTTCGAATTCAAAACATCTCTTACATGCATGAAGCAACCACAATATGCATGTAGATGTAGTAGTCTAAAAACATCTATTTTATTTCTTACTATTTGAGTTAGCAGGTCATGTAATTCATAGATTCATCTCAAGTAATTGTTGTTGAGTAACTGTATAATTGTTTATCGTTGATGTAATGCGAGACGCATTTGAATCAACCACACGCACAAGGGATGAGTATACCCTTACCATCTCTAAAACCGCTAACTTCATATTTTGTTAAGTCCGTGTTAGAACTTAGAGTTTAAGTGTTTAACCCTAGTTACGAGCTCCAATTATCATCGGTAAGTTTTATACATGAGAGCCACCACGTACTCTATGTATTTATGAGTCCTCACATATATACGAGAGATTTTTCAGTATGTTCATAAAAAAATGAGCGGTACACCACATGTAATTATACAATTGAAGAGATACTTTAAAAAAAAATTTCTACCACTTATATAATAATATGTAGCGTACCATCTCAAGTTCTGAACATAATAAAAAAAATTCTCTCCATGTATATCTAGGAAATATAGTCTTTGGTTTCGGCAACTTGTCTCTTTAAACTCCGGCAACCTAATTGAATTTGTCTTTAAGGTGCAAGTGCCAATTCAAATGATGACGGATTCCGCCAATAATATTTCTTTCCTTGGAACCGTTGAAGCCAAAACCAATGCTTAAAGTTTGAGAGATTTTTCAATGTGACCGTCACACGAGATGGTACACCATGTGTCGCTATATAAATGGTGGGATATGTGTGTTAAAAAGTTAATAATTTAAAAAATAAAATTTCTCACCACTTACATAAAAACACATAGTGTACCATCCGTGTTCTAGTCATAACTAAAAATTTCCCCTAAAATTTGGCTAATCGAAAATTTAAAAACAGTTAGGAGGCAAAAGCAAATTAATTTGTGCCTTGTCCTATTACACAAACAAGAATTTTGCAGCCGTTAAAAGGTTCGACAAGTTTGATTATTACTACTTCATTAGGATCCGCAAATCATGGGGAAACCGACGGATGATCTTGACCGTACACGTAGAGGGAGGTCATGTTGAGATTGATGTGAATTGAAGGCTTTTCGTGAGACTTTATTTATTTGAAATTTGACCCAAAACTCACTTTCACCAGCCAGCCAGAGATGAGAGAGCGACCAACCGCAGACCGCAGACCGCAGGCCACAGTCACCACCAATACAATTCTGGATGTGGCCGGTGGGTTACTCTAAACGTTAAAGGATTTTTAGCGGGTTATTTAATAACGACTCGACTTGATAATAAATTGATCCAAATTCATTATTTCGTTTTATTTTGTATCGGGATAGCGAATCGTGGTATAAATTGACAAGCTTACGGCCACAGCAACTACCAATACAATCCTGTGTCCCTTCCATGGATAACAGGCCATACCGCAAAGTCTTATGGGATATCTTCTCGCTTCTCCATTCGTCATTGCATGGACATAATTGTCACATTGGACCCCTCCCTTTTCCTTATCTTATTATGGTTTATTTTCTTTCCTTCTTTTTTTCTTTATTGATTCTTCGTATTATAATAATGGCATGTTGTTTTATTATTTTACATGTTATAATATGATTTCTATAGATTTACACTAGTATATCGTAAAACGAGCGGGTTGCTATTATCATATAATAGTGTTACAGTCATACTAAAAACTTTCTAATTTTTGGTAAATGTTGGCGCTCCTTCATGCATTTTTGTTTACTTTTTCAAAAGCTCCACCAAGAACAATTCTCAGTTAAATGCATCAATTTGAAAGATGAGCACTAACTTGTATTTCTATTTGCTACTCCAATTTAAAATTCACGGACTTTTGCTCTTCGGAATAGAGAGTATTGTTTATTCGTTGTCTATAATTACACCTATGAATATAAATCATACCAATTAGTTACGGCAGTGTGCTCGTCGTATTGGCACTCAAATTCCAATCACCCTCCCGTACTGTAAATAATAATAGTGTAGAGATCACTTTATAAGAAAAATGGATACATCCATACTCGTTTAAAGGATTTTGGGAAGAAACACAAGGGATAAATGACAGAATTGTCAAAAGATGACACGAGTCTACTCATACCATTGTCGTTTTCCTCCAAAGATTCAAAGGCAGTCGTAAAGAAAGAGCTTCAAGACATACTTATTAAAGTCATTGCAATTAAAAAACAATACGGAAAAGAAGAAAGTCATTGCAAATTAAATACTAGAGAGGTAGTTGCTGCCCCTGAAAACGCTGGAAACGCGGGAATCACAGAAAGCGACTACATAAGCATATGTAACGTAGGGCCAAGTAGACCTTTGTGCTCGTATTATTTTTGTGTTAAATTCGTTATCTTAATCGTATTATCGTGTCAAATTGATTATTTAATGGGTTCTTAACAGGTAACCTAATAACGAACTGATTTATTTACAGTTTGTTTTGTCTCGTGTCAAGTTAATAAGCAATAAATTATCATGCTTAATGTCTAAATCTGATAAACGGTATCTTATCGAGTTTATAACCAGTGACTCGGTAGCAATCCACCTTGGTAATGGTTTGACGCAAAACTTATTATTTTCGTATCATTTTGTGTTGAGTTAACAAATTATGTAAAGAATTGTCAGACATGCAATATAGAAATGCACACACTCCGTCAGTCGCACCCCGTTAACGACTTTTATAACGAAATATGGTAGTGCATTAGGCAAATTTGGTTACACCGTCAAAACTTAATATTGGTCTTATTAGGTTGATCTTGATTTGGTCTATGTGGATATGGCTAGCTAGCTAGCTTCTTCTTCATCTTATCCATTTGATTTAGTTATTCTATGATTAATCATATGTTGGTTAAGTGGGAATCTTGAAATAAAAGGAAGACATTTATCAATTAGTATTTTGAAAATATGTCTTTTAATTTTTTTTTTTAACAAATGATATTATCTATATTAAGAGGATGAGAGAGTGGGCTAAGCCTCACAATGGACTAGTAATAATATGGTTCAAACTCACTTTTAGTGAAAATCGAAGCTGAAACCTCTCAATTACCAGTGAAGAGAAATATCACTAGATCATAGTACTAAGTGACTGTTTTATTTAATTAATTGAATGAAAATTCAATAATTAATTAACTAAAACTTAAAGCTAAGACCTTTGACAAAAAGAAAATTAAAAGTTTAGAGCATATATAACGAGGTTCAATTAAGCTTAGCTTTCCTCTTATACCCTTTAACTTTTATTAAGTATAACTAGATATTTATTTAGAGAATTGTTATTAGCACTTCAAAAATCTTATTCTACACTCCAAACTTTCTATATTTGGAAAAAAAAATAGAAGTGTAGAATAAGATTTTTATAGTACCAATAACACTTTCCATTTATTTATATTCATAAATAATTTAATTAGAATTAAAAAAACACCACATAAACTTCTGTTTAATCCTCAACTAAGCGCTTGATCATGCTTACCGCTTAACACCTTTTAGAATCTTGCCTTCAACTATTTTGTAATCCTTCTACTCTTAATACAACATCGTTTCTTCTCAGGTTCTCTGAATTGAGGTTATCCCAACTCGATGGATTAATTAATTGAATTGGAATTTGAGATTCAAATGAGTATCTTTATATATTGTCATTAGTCAGTGCAGATAGGCCTTCTAATCCGCCAACCATAAGAGTAATGCCCTTCCCTAGATTGGAGTGCATCTCTCAAATCCATAAAGATTGGACTGTATTTGCATCGGGCAAAACCACCATTGTGTTCCTTTCTTTTGTCTCAAAGCCGTACTATGTATTATATTCTCAAGCGTAAATCACTGGATAGAATAAAATTCTCTTTACGCGTTTTTATGATTGTTTTTTTAGTACAATGATAATATTAATAGGTTAAATAGTTAGTTGTTAGAAAAAAAAAAATCGGTGGAAGTCAAATCTATCAAAATGCATAGACATGATTGTATTATTACAATATAATTTACATACATACATAAAATATAAATTATGAAGTGCTAATTAATTAATTATTTAAAATGTAGAGCATATTAACATGCAAGAAATGAAAATTGAAATTTTTTTGGTCAAACAATAGATTAGATTAGGGAGCAGGGTTCGATCTTACACTATGATGTAAGAGCAATACTTCTTTTCACCACTATGATAAAGGACCACTTACAAATTAAAATTACTTTG